CAAATTCACCTTGGAATCTTTCACAAAGTCATAGATTTTCTTTTTCTCGCACCTCCAAATTAATTGATTACTTCTTTGTACAGAAGCTTCTCCTTCCTAAGCCACAGTGAAAATGTTTACTGCCAGGTGACCTCAATTCTGATCTTTATGACAAGTTTTTCCTCTGTAATACTATCAAACTTCTACCTTCACGGTTTCAGAGTTTCTTTGTGTAATATTGCAGTAACCCTTCATATCACCTCTGTTCCCAGATTTGCTGGTGCTAGCTTGTTTTTCATGCTAGCATAAGAAAAAGAGCTATCAAGGTTGTTAAATTGCAAGCAAAGTTCTTAATGGGCATAAACAATTACTGCCTTCTATCATAGAATCATAGAATCATAGAATCACTAAGGTTGGAAAAGACCTAAAAGATCACCCAGTCCAACCGTTCACCTATTCCCAATAGCTCCTACTAAACCATGTCCCTCAACGCAACATCCAGTCTTTCCTTGAACACCCCCAGGGTCGGTGATTCCACCACCTCCCTGGGCAGTCCATTCCAGTGCCTGACCACCCTTTCTGAAAAGTAATACTTCCTAATGTCCAGCCTGAATCTCCCCTGCCGTAGCTTGAAACCATTCCCCCTGGTCCTATCACTAATGACACGAGAGAAGAGGCCGACCCCCAGCTCACTACAACCTCCCTTCAGGAAGTTATAGAGAGCAATAAGGTCTCCCCTGAGCCTCCTCTTCTCCAGGCTGAACATTCCCAGCTCCTTCAGCCTCTCCTCATATGGCCTGTGTTCCAGACCCCTCACCAGCTTTGTTGCCCTTCTTTGAACACGTTCCAGGGCCTCAATATCTTTCTTGCAGTGAGGGGCCCAAAACTGGACACAGTACTCGAGGTGCGGCCTCACTAGTGCTGAATATAGGGGAAATTCTAGACCAATTCCTTTATCAATGTTGTTATTCTTTGTCTACTTTATGGTTCTTAGGAAAATTTTCATTTCCTCTGGTGTAGCTGACAGTTTGGCATATGCTAAATCATATGTGTTATATAAATTGAAATTGAGAGGAACTGCTGTATGTCCCAACTGATAAGCGAATAAATAGAATTTAGTAGCTCATAGACGGAAGGCTAACTTAGCAAGAGCTTCCTTTTGTACCCTATTAAAGCACAGAAAAGCAGTGGCCACAAACAAAAAACCTGCCAGTGAGTCAAACAGGCCCCTTAGCTGTAAGCACTCTTTTTAGAGTTTGTGACCTCTCAGCCCACAGTAAAGGCAGATACAGTGTGTTCAGATGACTAAATGAGAGTTGGAGGTACAAGCAGCCCTGTCTTGGAATTATTTGACATGCACCCTTGTTCTCTCACTGATCATAAGAAATTGGCAAAGGAACCTTTGTCTCTGCCTCCTTCAATGTTGGCAAAATTTTAATGTAGACTCAGCAAGAATTACGTGTTCTGCTCTCTACCAGACATGTCTGGAAGAATATGAAAGACTTTATCAAAGAATTCTGGTGATAACAAATAATATTTATTTATTTATGTGTCTCCTTATTACAGAAAGAGACACTTATCGTGTGAACACAAGTATAGAAAACTGACACGTAAATGAGGATCAAATGACAGAAGAAATCTTCTGGAAGTCTGTAAAGCTGAAGTAACAGAAGAGGACCTCCTGACTTAAGAAGGACCATTAATTTTGCCAGCGTAGCCACTAGGACCAGACCTCATGTTTGGATGCTGTTTCGTTCACGAGCTGTGGGGGTGATTAAGCACGCACACACAGAGCAGCTTCAGCGCTTTAGGGGGGGTTATCACTTTGTGAAAGCTAACAATGTTCTATGTTCATACAGAGCTGGACAGATTACTGTGAGAGTTCATAGAAGCGAAGCTGTGAAACATTTCTGTGAAGATTTGTTGGTCTGCCTTCAGATCACACATTTTCTCTTGACTCCAGGAAAACAAGGGTTTTGATTAGACGCTGGTCAGCATCAGTATGTGTGACACTCTCATACGCTTGGAATGGCAAAACAGTTCCAATGAGTCATTTTGCAGTTTCTGTGACCTTTCCTCTTTAAGTATATTCTGTGTGAAATAGACTTACACGCCATTCATGAAGGACTCTGCCATCTAATCTTGGAAATTCTAGGCAAGATTAATATTTGCTGTTTTGAAAGGAGAAAAGAGGATTTCTTTGGGTTAAAATGCTGAAATACTTTTTCCATTCAGCCCCCTAGTAAATATTATCTTTCCAGGTCTTGGCTTTAGAATACAGCTGAACTGAGGAAACTTTCTGCCTGAAGCCAAAACAAACAGAAAATCATTAACAGAAATAAGATAGGAGCCTTCAAACAGAGAATGAACTAGTTACTGGCTTCAGAGGTAAAGAAAATACATGTAAAAGTCAGAGAAAATGCATGGAAGTTGCTTTCTGCATATTGAAATAAAAGAACATTTAAACTTGCTTATAGGTTCCTGTGACTTGAACATTAAGGTGATCTTGAAGGCTACTTTACATATTTCATTTGATTTCTATTCTCGCATAGCAAGCATAACCTTTTTCTCATAGGAATGCAGTAGGATATTCATTGGATTTGCTCTGCAGCTTTTCAGAAAAAAAAAGTTAGTTAAAAATGTGTTTTTCAAGTACTACATGGACACTGACATTATTGTGAGTCTTCTTTCCTAGCATAAGCATCAAAACTCCAGTAGGATGTGGGCAGTATGCAGTCTGTTTAGAAATGCTCCCTGTTCATTTTTCTATGTGTTTTGGCTTGTATTAGAGACCCAGTCCAAAGCCTACAGAAATCAGCTAGAAGGCTCAGTTCGACCTCAGTAGGACTGAGATCAGTTTTCTCCCACACTAAGTGAAACAAATGTATTTACGAGTTTAAGGAAACAGTTTTTGCAGCATTCTGCTTATAAGAAAGTAGTACGGTCACAGGGGATGGTGAAAACAGTAGGATTCCTCTTTGGAATCATTACCCTCAAATCCTCCCGCTATTCTGGGTTGGACTATGTAGAGACAAATAGGTACTATATTCTTCTGGGTCCCCTCTGGCTCAGATACATGAGATTGGGCTCCAAAGTGGGATGTAGCATCCCATTTTTTGTATGGGTCATGGGTAGGTCACAATGTCCGTGAAGTGAAGGATGGTACTTCTGAGCACCTTAGTTACACATGTACTCTCCCCTCAGGCTGCAACAATGCCCATATTCCAGTCCATAGCATAATCTAATCATACATGTAGTTGCAAAATCTGTTTGAAATGGTTTGAAATGCCCATCCATCAACAAGTATTTATAGCAGAATGGTTTGGGTCTGAGCAAAGGCTACACAAGATTAACTCCTCTTTAAGAATAGAGAAAGGATTATGACATGCTTGAAATCTAAATTTTTGGTTTGTGTAATCACTCTTCCCATCATATTGAGAGAATAATAGCCTTATGGAAAACACTAGGTTAGTATTTTCTTGAGTAGTCAAAGACATTAGGATATAAACTGCCTGTAGTAGTTGTGTCTAAATCCCCTCAGTGCCTTGCTAAACCTTGCAATGTTCCCTACTTTGAAGCATTCAAAAGCTATCAGGCAGCTCCTTTATTCTTTTATTCTATTTTATTATTTTTCAAAAGTATCTCTAGTGGATGTAAATAGGAATAGTGGAGTTTCACTGTTTGTTTTTTTTTTTTCACCAGCAGAGGTCCTGGTCCCAACATGGTTGAAATGGAGGGGAGTAAAGGGAGAATTAGCACAGTAAGTGTCTGATGCTGATGTTTGCTTAAATGTGTGCTCTCTGCACACCTATCCTGATCTTTTTCTAACGCCTGAACCACACAAAACAAATGTGCTGTTTTAGAGAATGGTTTGCATTTGCTGTTTAGCATGGAAAAGGTTAGCATCTTCTTAAGGTTAATGCCTAATGAAGGAACATCCCAATTATACTTGTGCAGCTGCAATTCTAGAGACCATTTGTTGTAATTCACTATAGGTGAGCCATTACAGCTAAGCTGCTTGGGTGCTGTTATCTCCTTTGAGATCTTTGCATGTTTTTACTCTTAAAGTATGTAAAAAGCCACTGAAAATACCAGCAATGGGCAAACATTTTAACCCCATTAGAAAATAAGATTCTTTCTATTCCATGCACAATGCTCATCTCGACTTAACTCCATTCACCAGGTGCGTAGCTGAGTCCCTCTAGTGGTGTAAGCATTCATCCGATGTCTGCATGTCATTTGAATTTCATTTTACGGTCACGTTATAGCAGCAAATTTACAGGTAGCTTTTTTGGGCGCTCTGAAGACTGTGACAAAGTGGATCTGAGATTAGATGCTGTGTAGGCTCGTGTTAATGAATGCAAATTTAATTTTAGCTGGGAAGGGCAAGTACAGACATACTGCAAAGAAAGGGGAATTCTTGAAAGTATATTCAAGAACTAATTACTATCAGTAAGACACACGCAAAGAGCAACGTAATGCTCAGGGCAGCCAATAGGGATAAAAGCTTATGGACAAATCTGTCATGACCTGGTAGTGAAGTCTGTTTAAAAACACTGATCTCCACTTAGCTTGTAAATGCGCATCACTCTCTTTCTCACTCATATATTCTCTCTCTCTCTCTCTCTCTCTCTCTCTCTCTAACACACACACACACACACAAGCTCTTGGATTTGCAGAAGCCAGACATCTAGGGCACTTCTTGGCATCCACAGGAAAAATCATATGGGATTAGAAAAACACTGCAGTAAGTACTCCCTGCATTAAATGTTTATTAAGTGGCATGCTGTCAAAACCTAGATTTAATGGTAAATACAGGAGGACTTTAATGGAAATTGGCTGTATTTGATTTTTCCTAGGAACTGCTGAAAGCTGCCTCTCGAGGATTACAACTTCACCTTTTGCTTTTACAGATGCTTGTTTACTATCCATGTGGCAACCACTGCACAGCCAGTAATCCATTCATTATCCTCACTGATTGAGTGTGAGAGCAGTGCAGTGGTAACTACTTCACTTAGCTGATGGCAGACGACAAAAGCAGGGAAATGATGAATTCGGACAATTTAACCTCCCAGAGCTTTCTCTCTGCAATTCATAGCAACGCCAGCAATTTATTCTCAGGGCTCCAGTTTGTTCAGTCCTTCAAGCCACTCATCATCCCCTGCTACTCCCTAGTAGTTTTTATTGGTGTCATTGGGAATTATCTTCTTATTTATGTCATCTGCAAAACGAAAAAAATGCACAATGTGACCAACTTTCTGGTAGGCAATCTGGCTTTCTCAGACATGCTCATGTGTGCAACCTGTGTGCCTCTGACTCTCGCATATGCCTTTGAGCCCAGAGGATGGGTGTACGGACGTTTCATGTGCTACTTTGTGTTCCTGATGCAACCCGTCACTGTCTTTGTGTCTGTCTTCACCTTGACTGTCATAGCTGTGGATAGGTATTATGCCATGGTGTACCCATTCCGGAGGAGGCTCACTATCCCTGTTTGTGCCTATATCCTGGCTGCCATTTGGCTGCTGAGCTGCACCTTGGCTGCCCCAGCCTTGCTCCACACTTATCATGCGGAATTCCCAGAGTTGGACTTCTCCATCTGCGAGGAGTTTTGGTTCCATATGAAAAGAGATCGCTTGGCTTATGCTTACAGCACTCTCATCATCACCTACGTGCTGCCTTTGGCTGTCATCTCCCTGTCCTACCTGCGAATCTCAGTCAAGCTGAAAAACCGAGTGGTCCCAGGCAATGTCACCCAGGGCCAAGCTGAATGGGACCGGGCAAGAAGGAGAAAGACTTTTCGCTTGCTTGTCTTGGTGGTGGCAGCCTTTGGAGTCTGTTGGCTGCCTCTGCACATCTTCAACGTGGTAAAGGATATAGATATCAGTTTAATTGATAAGCAGTACTTCAATTTAATCCAGCTGCTATGCCACTGGTTTGCCATGATGTCTGCTTGCACCAATGCCTTCCTCTACGCCTGGCTCCATGACAGCTTTAGGGGGGAGCTGAAGAAAATGTTTGCCTGGAGAAAAAAGAAAATTGGACCCACTACAAATTGCATTATGGCCAGTGTGGTGCTGTAAACACAAGAGCTGGTGGGAGTGCACTTCCTGCAACACTGTAAGTCATTTCCACTTTTAATCAGTTCTGGTTGCTAATGACTAGGGGCTCAGTCATAACACCACATGTCCCATGGGTGACTTCCCCAGCATTTCCAGCCATACTGGAGAAGAAGAGGCAGAGATCATATCCCCAAATGTCTTTTTTTCTTTGATGGGAGCTAGAGGCTGTGGAGATCTTGGAACAAAAAAATCCCCTTGTGTAAACTGCAGGGATCCTTCCTATCTTGTTTCCATGTCACTGGCAGCATAGATGTGGGAACAGGGAGAAGCAGTGGTGAATACAAGATCTGGATACCCCAGGGAGGGGATTAAATCTTTAGACTGGGTGAAAGTTCAGTCTGTTTATCTACCCAGAATACAGACCCTAGTATAAGTTTCATAGGAAAAGACTGACAGTATTCCTGTAGATCTCCTCCATTAGGGTCATGATGATGAACAGCCTCAGCTCTCTGAAGTGTCCTTTGTACAGAGCTGACACTGTGATCAGGGATAAGGGCTGCTGGGAGCATTGCTGTGAGATCCCATGGCTGCTGTGTCTTGGGAGCTGTATCATGACATAAAGTGAGATGAGCTGCAGTGCTGGGAGAGGGCAAACTGCAGGAGTGAAGCTGTTTGATGAGGCGTGGCTGATGCACAGTGACTGACAGCTGATTAGCTAAGTCACCTGGTAAATTGCTGATGCTGCCATCATGGTGGTCAGGCTGGAAAGTGCATGGAAACTCATCAAAATAGGAGGATATTAAGATATGCCACAAGACATTGAGTTGTATGCTTGCCATTGTCTCATATAAGCCCAATTTGCTGACCCTTCAGCAAGGTGACCATGTTTCCAGCCAATGGAGATCAGTGTAGCCTTGTCAGACAAGAAGCTTTCTGCTCTTCCCTTGAGGAACAGATTTTGACATGTGTAATGGGTAATGCTGCCATCAGCTTTGATCTCCAGAGGTAGCCAGAGACCTTGATAGGGCCTTCAAGAACACTTCAAAAGATGGTAGGTAGAAGGGGCTGTTGTCACTGAGCTGTGATGAGCACTGTGTGACCAAGAGAAGAAAGGCTTGTCAGAAAGCAGAGTGGTAAGAGCTCTCTTTTGAAGGAGTCTCCTGGGAGGAAACAATTTCCTTTGACATTCACCTTTCAGTAGAAGGAAGGAGTTAAAAGCTATAATTGAACAAATGATTTCTAGTCTCTTCCTCCTGTATGTACTGAAAATATCTGAGATAACTGATAAGAATCAGGGAAAAAGTTGTGATGCCAGACATCTTTTCTTGAAGAGGCTTCTTCCAGCCATAACATTAAGTGAGGAGCTGTTTGATATCCCAGCTACAGAAAAAGCACAGACCAGGGGGCAGTTTTGTCCTTTTTCAGCCAGGCTGAACTTAATGTACCGTGTGTGGCCAGAGATGTGTGTGCTGCCAGGCATGGCAAACAGATAAGGTAGGAGAGAGAAGAAGTAGGTTATGGTTTCACTGGTTTCTAAATGTATTCCTACTGTGAAACAGTACCATTCTGCTCATCAACATTCAGTAAACTAATCTAGTTAAAAAAATACACAGATGCCAATACACACACTGGGAAAAACATTTGAAATCCCTTTTCACAAATTTCCTTGCAATTTCAAGCCGTGCTTTTGCCTGCAATGAGGAATTGAAAATTACAAGCTGATTACAGTAACACTGAATCAGAGAAGCCTCTCTAAAGTGGGCACTGTTTGCATTTACTCAGTGATTGAGTATAGCTGCCTTGCTTATTCTGGTTTAGACATCTGAGTGTCTTACTGAAAAATGCTTTCACTGAATTTTGGGAGATCGTTCTCTTTCAAGTTCAGTATACAGAATAACTGGAGATTTTGAAAAAGGAAAACAAACAAACAAAACCCACCAACCTTCCAAAACAAACCAACCAAATTTAATGAGGTTTTTAGTTTCTGCTTCAGGGCTTTGTAGAAAAGAGCAGTGAGTACAGCACTGAGAGAAAGCGCTGAGCACTGACATGAAAAGCTTTCACAACAAAATCCTGAGTTTTGGAGATTTTTCTTTTATGGAACTGTGCTATTTCAAGTTCTTCATTTGTCATTTTGCATAGGCTGATTAGCAGTGAGTTGGTCCTTAATGTTTACAACCCCATGCACTAAATACAGACAGCATTTTATTACAGTGATCCAAAGCGCAGTGGAGTAACTAGAAAAAAAATTGCTAACCACTGCAGGCCATTATTTCTTTCCCCCACACCACGTCTCTACCCCCATTTCCAGGCACCACAGTTTGGTTATTAATTTTCTCTTGCATGCTGGTGACAGTAGATGGCTGCTGCAAAGGGCAGAAGGAAGCAAACTAGAGCTTAAATTTCTCTGTCTTTTATCTTTAACTCTTACAAATGAGCTTTTGCTATCAACAGTCACTACAGCTGTGTTCACAGCAGCACCAAGGGCTGCATGTTGAGAGGCACTCAGCGTGGTGGGCACTCTCATATAAGGGCAGGTGCACTGCACACATGCCTGGAATTTTCCAGCTTCTGTATTTGCACCTGGGGCTCTGCTGCTAACACTGTGTTTGGACTGTCACCTGCAGGGTTAGGTTTTGCAGAAACACCCCAAGATGGTGTTGCCTTTAGCTCCTGAGGCTCCTTCTCTCTTCTCAGCGGTCCCATTGGGCGCAGCAGTGACTGTGGATATGCTCACACAGGCTCACTTCTGAACCTTGGCCCAGCAATCTCTGCTAAATGTAATTACTGTTTTCTCTGATATCCAGAGTAATAAACAATAATAAGATTTAGAGGCACACTGGTATACTTCTTTAATCCAGTTATGCAAATAATTACAGTAAAAGCCTTCATGTGGAATGTGTTTTCTAATCTGTACCCCTCTCTGGGGAGCTGCTGTGCTCCTCTGAGGGACCAGGGCTCATCACTACAGTATTTTTGGTTCTATAATTTTTAATTACAATTTAAGAAATCATTACATGCTTTGATTTTATAAAGTAGTGCAGTTCTAAACTTGGTGAGCCTATTAAAATTCCCAGCAAGGGTTTTTCTTCTTTCTTGTTTACATTCAAATCCAAGGACTGTCATAGTGAAGGATGGAGCAAGGTCTGTATCTGAGCTGAAGTGAATGCTCAGTAAGGTGAGCAGAACACTGTGCTCCCTGTCTGCTGGGTTGCATTTGAGCTGTTTCCATGTACCAAGAGAGCTTTGGCAGGTAGATACCTGCATCTGTGTTTTACAGCAGCAAATACATGCAGCTTATGATGCCTCCTTGGGCTGTTCCAAAATGCCAGTCCCTAGGTGTATAGTGGAATTTGTGTACATGTGGTGTGGTGTCTCCAGGTAGGTATCATAAAGCATTTACTGTAAAGTTGGTTGTCAGGGCACAGTGAGGATTTTAGGCAGGAGGGAACATGGAAATGAGAAGATTTTGTTGGGGCTGGACAAGTCAGAAGGCTCTATATATCTTAAACAAGGAGATTAAAGGAGATACAAAAGGAAATAGTGGGAAGAGACAGAAGGAAATGAGATGTCTACATTTAGAGTGAGGAGAACAGATTAAACCAGCAGGAGTGACAGCTTTACAATTTGAAGCTAGTTCTTGGAGGGACTCCTAGGGCATCTTTCTAGCAAATACACTGCATTTTCAATGAGTGTAGATGCAGAAATTCTTGGTCAGACATAAGCTACTCCCTGTGGTCAAACAGAACTAAAAGGTGATGCACCTATGAGCAACATCAAAATGTAAATCAGTATTTGAGCAGAAACAAAAAGACAGGTTATCAGAACAAAGGGCGCTAAATCTGAAATCACAGAATGATGGAATCATCAGGGTTGGAAAAGACCACTAAGATCTTTCAGTCCAACCCATCCCCACCATGCCCACTGCCCACATCCCTCACTGCCACATCTCCATGCTTCTTGAACACCTGCAGGGACAGTGACTTCCCCAGCTTCCTGGGCAGCTTCCAGTGCCACTCTTTCTGAGAAGAAATGTTTCCTAGTATCCAACCTGAACTTCCCCTGGTGCAACTTAAGGCCATTAATTCTCATCCTAAATCAAGCCATAAGAGCAAAACAACTGTTAAACCTCAGGGTCAGGTAGAGTTGGTCTCTCACAGACCTCCAGAGCAGTCACCAAAGACTAAAATGTTTGTGAGATGCATTGATTTCGTTCCTTGTACCTGGGTGAAGAAAATGATGAGAGCTGTATTTGTATCAAGCTCAGGAGCAGTATTTGGGGGATGGCAGATCACCTAGGATGGACAGAGGTAGGCCCTGCTATACAGGATCACAGTAAATGCCTCTAAGCTGAGAGAGATGGGGAAAGCTGACGTTTTCCATGCCAGCTGAACAGCAGATGCTCTGTGTAGTTTTAATTGAGTGAATCTTGCTTGTTGAGCTGGCAATGGTGATCTATAATTAGAAGTCTAAGAGAATGCAGGGTACAGATAAAAGCAGAAAACAGTACACCTGCAGCTGGGGAAAAATGCCAGTTGGGCAGCACTGTGCAGCACATCCATCAACCTGCCCACCAGATGAGAAAAGCACAGACAGAAATTGTGTGCATTTCTGCATGAAGAGCCATAACTCAATTGTTTTCCTCCAGACTTCTCCCTCTCACTGCCCACTTTTTTTTCTTCTTTTCCTCATAAGAATAGATGTATTCCTCCTTTCAGTAGTTGTATTCCATCTCAGAAAACATACAGAGATCAGAGCTCTAAAATGGGGATTATCTTCTCCTCTTTTCAGGAATTAGACTCAATGATCTTTATGGGTCCCTTCCATTTTGGGATATGCTGTGATTCTGTGACTCTCTTTTAAATGTCTCTCTGAAGAAAGAAATAGCCAGTTAGATGACACACAGCTCATACATGTAGCTATTAGCCATGCAGATCTGCAGCTGGCAGGAGTCTTTCTACCACTTGGAGCACTACCTTTAATGGTTGTATCGAGTAAATATCCCTCCCCATAGAGTGCAT